TTCAGCCCTTTTCAAAAAAAGTACTACACTGAAAACAAGATTTTGTTTTAGAAGAATTACTGATGAGAGCCCTAATCCAGGGATCCGAGGAAAAAATACAAGGCTCTTTTGTAAAATACATAACCTCATAACCACACAAAGCACATTTTTCATGGGTTGCTCTGATTTAGCATGCTCAAGAGCAGTGACTTCCAGCTGGGTTTTAAACTGCATCAGGAACTCCACATATCAACCCAACTGCTACTGAAATCATCCACGCTTGGATCTTTCTGAGATACACCAAGAGGTCCTAAATGAGATGCATAATAATCCAGCCCCAAACAGGGGTTATTTCAAATTTATGTTCTAAAGTAGCCGGATCTGTCTGCTTACACCTTGCCAAAAGATCAATACAGCTTTTGGGATACCTAAAGGAAGTGCCCCCGCACATAACGCAGACGTTTGTGACGGAAGGAGGCGTTGCTGCCAGCATACCGACCCAGCTGAAGATACAACTAACAGGGAAGACACAAAAGGACGCTTGGCAAAAGCAATCGGCAAGGAGCCTGAGCAGAGAGTCAGGCTCGTGGTGTCATCAGATACCAGGAGCTGCGGTTTCTCCACATGAAATCAAATACAGCCAGCAGTACTTACTTTTGCAAGTCTGGGTTCTCAGTGCACGACGCGAGTGGAAAGTGAGCCTTTTAAGGAGCCACTGACAGATTAGCAGACGTAAAGCAGAACCAGTCTTGGGTAACGGACCTATTATGGACATAGTTATTCTCGAGCCACATAAGAAACCCTGAACTCAAGAGCTCTGTTTCAATTTACTAGAAACTATACTGACAGAAACAGTGCGGTAACGCTCCAGCAGAGCAGCACCCTTCCAAGAAGTGTTCATATTCCCTCTTCCCGCAAACAATTTTGTTTAATTCAAGCAAACTGATTTGCGCATGTGGACAAGAACATGCTATTACGCCAGCTGTACACCTGAATACTGTCACAAGTATCACGTACACAGGATGCTTCAACTGCAGAACGTTTCCAGCAATTTTTCCCCTTTTTACTTTCCCATTAGCAATGCAATTGAAGACCAGAGCAAACATCAGATAAACCGCCATAGTGGCAAAATCAACTTTAAAAAAACATTTCTCTGCATTTTTAAATATACGGAGAGAAACCAGACTTGATGTTGTAGTCCAACGAGCTGCACATCGGGCGTGGAGCCCAGGGGGATCTTCCTGCCACTTGCCTTTCTGAACAAAGGCAAGTTCTCTTTTGGCTTCATTCGCCAATTAAATTCAGATCCTGGCTCAGAGAAAAGGAAAAGGTGCTCAGCCTTTCCGAGTTAAGTGATGAATCACACTGGCAGTTAAATATGCCCAGCACCTCTAGTGAGTCATGGGTCAGGTGAGAAGAGCAAAATGATGGGGAGAAGCAACTGTCATTTGCATGTGTATTTTACACCTTCTTGGTTCATGTTTTCACTGTCCTCCCAAAAGAGCAAATGCAGCCACAATTACTGATCAACACTTTGACTTGATGGGACCAGCTCCCAAAGATGGATGTATTTCTCTAGTGGTGTACAAAAAGAAGCAACGCAACATCTATCTTATAGTGCTGCTTTAGCAGTAACTATACACCTCCTCCCAAAGAAGGGAAGCTTATCATGACGAACACATCCTTGTTTGACAGACATCCAGAAATGCACTGAACTCTCCTAAGCTGTGTTCTCAGGAGACAGAAATTAAAACTTCTCAGTCTTGTTGCATACTCTCTGCAAAACAAAAATGTCCTCTGGCTCTGCAATTCTTTACTCATTCCTGGGCCAATTTATTTCTCAAGTAGCACCTCAAGCAAAGACTTCTGTCTGACTAGTCTAAAAGGCATCCATTCCTTCAATAGAGAGGTGCTGCAGAAATATCAATCACTAGCAAGACCTTCTTGGGGCAGTTATTTCCTTCCTCCGCTTCCAACAGAGTCCACTCTGAAAGCCTTAGCAGTTTCTCTTCATCTTTCTTCAAATCTGGTTTTTTGGTTAAAGAGTTTGCATAAGCAAACATGGTCACTTCTACATGCACATTCTGTTCTTGCACACACAAAAACAAACACTTAACTCATTTCAGGTCCACTCATGCAAAGGATCTCCTATTGCTTTACAAATACAGATGCGAAGGGACCTCTTCACACCTCCCAGGTTAGCTACTCAATTTACTTGGAAGCAGTTTAAAGTAGCAAACTAATGTAGATGCTTTGAGCCATGCTGTGAAGATCCTGCTCTTTCCACTGTCTCTATATAGGTACTAAAAGACAGTTTCACATGTATTTATTTGGCAGCAGCTGTCTGGACCAGTGCCTCGTCTTCTGAGATGGATCATTCCCAGTCCCACTTGGCGTTATGCAAGTGCGGCTGGTTTTGCAGCTGTATGATTTACCACACAGCCAGTTTGACCACAAGACTCTGAATCTCTAAAAAAAAAAAAAAAAGCCAGGAGCCCGCTCAGGAACATGAGCTGGTATCCAAAGGCCAGCACAATTCAAGGACTAAAAAAAACAAACAAACAAACAAACAAGAAAACCTCAGACATGCAGTGCTGTTTTCTGATGAGAACCAGTTACATATCCTCATGGCAGAGTATGATTTTACTGTATTGCTTGGAACTGCAAAGGATCAGACCCTTTTTATCTGATTAATTGGAACCAGGGCTGATCAAGATAAAGTATTATATGAAAAGAATTCCAAATGATGTCAGGATGAGAATGCCAGACTCATGAGCCCATCAGTGCGGCACAATTCAGGCATTAAAGGTCAGCATATCACCATCACTGGAAAGACTGCATTTGACACACAAGCAGAACTCAAGTTTAGGGCAAAGGAAAGAAATGACTGGACAGAAGGGGAAAAACCTGTGTTCACAGTTAGGCGGACTGAAGCCTATACAAATAGATGCCGCACTGGTTTAACCAAAGAAGGAATTTTGAAAAGCTGGAGGTCATTTACAGCAAGAAGGGGACCATTGTACAAAACCTAACATTTATTTTCACCAGCAGAAAAAAAACCTCAAGGCTATTACAGTCTCTTTAAAAGTAAGGGGCGAGGGAGAGCAGATGCCAGGGTATTGCTGAACGCAATACCCAAAATACAAAACAAGTAAAATACTGTCAATATCCCCCAAGTAGCACAGTTTCTGTTAATCGAAGAAGGGAGGGAGAAAGGCTGAATCCTCATATACAAAGAAATATAAATTCAACTTTGAAAGTTTATTCCCAGTCTTACTGACCATCTCAAAACAGTACTGTAGTGACGTAGCACAACAGCTCTACGCAAAAATAAGCACAAAAAGTAAAAGCTCTGATTCACCTCAAGCACAATCTTGTCGCCTCTAGATTATATGGGAAGTGCAACATTAGTAACTCCCACCTACCTCCATTTACCAACCATTTAACATGAATTTTATGTCAAAAATAAACATTTTTATTTTTCTGCTGGAAAAAACCCCATACATTGCTAGTGCAGGGTTTTTCCACTTTGCTCAACCTGCGCGCTTGCAAGGCAACATACAGACTTCAGAGTCATTTTATTTGCTTATGCGTTGAAAATTACCTGGTCACACGATCTGCGTCATGAGTAGCTTCCTCAGTAATCTGCAGAGCAAAGGACAGCCTACTCCAAAAGCAATTTTGTCTCCAATAAAACTGTCTAGAGACCTGCAGCAGGAAACACTGAATAACTGTATTCTGAACCACTGATGTACACGGCAGCAGAGCACTAATTTGAACGGGCAACTGCAAACTCGACCCTTCCTCAAAAAGGAGTTGCGTTCTTTAAGAGCTCACAACTAGGGCGTAAGCAAATGAAATTTAATATTTATGGGTTTTGCAGTGTATTTTAACACTGGGTAGTTTCAAAGATTCTTTTGCATATTAACACCACCTTCAAGGAAGCCTTCAAAAATAAATGTTCCGTTAAAAGTATTTCTATATGATACCTACAATTCAGAGAAAAGCAATTCTTTTCTCAACTTGTTCATGATTTTATTGCCTTGATAATTCCACTTGGAAACAAGCAGCATAGCACTTTTTTATGGTCTTTGAATGACAAGAAGGAAAAAAAACCAGAAGAGAAAAACAGAAAAGTGTTTGCTGCCCTCCAGAGGAAAAAAAGACAAAATTACAGCTGTAAGATATGAAGCTAGAAAACACCTATTCCTATCCAGTTTTAGAACTGCTTCCCTCAGTAGGCAGCAAAGGTATCAAATAAAACTCACTGCACTGAACTATGACAGCAAAGTAGTTACTAAAAATGTCAGTGGGGATGATCACCTACTAGCTCCAAGATGTCACACCTTTTAAGTTTTTCTTCTCAGTTTTATACCGCAAGATGTACTGGACAGTTATATATTTAATAACTCAGAGCAACTATAAATAAATCATTCTCTGCTTTTCAGTTTTAGCTGTAAAATGAGAACAAGAGCAACTCCCTGTCAAACAGAAATACTGCAAGGATAACTGCAAGGGGCGCAGAACTCCTGAGCGCTGACGCTCTCAGGGGTGAGTCATCCCTTACGGGGAGCTGACGTCTGGCTGCCCTCCAAGCAGGGATCAGTTCCCCTTCCCAGCTGAAGCAAATAAATCTCACAGCAATGTGATACGTCACAACTCCAAATTAAGGTGCGGAGACATAAAAGGCACAAGTCCAGATGGAATGCCAAGAAATTAGGAGAAGCTTAGCATTTCCTACATGGAAAAAATAGATAAAACCACAACCTTATCTTCTGCTGGCGCTGTGCAATACGTGCAGCAAAACTGGAGGTCAAGCTATAAATACTCTGTGTCTAACTACATAGTTGGATATCTAACTTGAAACATTACCTTTCAAAAACTGAAGCCTGAACTCTGTATTCAGTTATTTTTCCTTAGACCAAAGACTATTTTTAAATAAAGATAAAATAAAAATTCTTTAGAAAGGCTAAAGACTACTTTTAAATGATTATATTTTTTTGAAAAAAAGAAGCGCTTACCTGACAGCCTCTGCTACGTTGTTGGAAGTGTGTCCTGATAAGGCATCGTGAAGGTTACGGATGAAATAATCTCTATAGTCTTCAGGCAGGGCCATAAAAGTTCCACCCATCACAATGAATTCTACCTTATCCACACTGTGGCCCAACTGCTTCAGCTATAAAATTAAAATTACCAGTGAGAAACTACCAGCGAATGACTTTTGGATAAAAGACTTCTTTGAAAACCCTGACATTCCTACAGCTGCAGATGTTTCCTTCAGCAGTTAAATCTTTTATGAATGACCAGCCATTAAATACTCATGCACAGACTTCTTAATAAGCCCCTCCAAAACCTCAGAAATGACTGTTCTACTGCAAGAATATAGTCTTTGAAAGATACTTTAGAGAGAGACGATGACAAGGAAAGCACAGCCAAGAAGTACGAGTGGCACACGTGGCAGAGCTAGTCATTAAAAGAAACTCGAAATGGAAAAATACTACTATGGTACTTCAAAGTAGGAAAATACAGGGAGTTTTGCATACTCAGCCACCCAGATACAAGACAGCTGCCAGTCTGAAAATGCAGAGCCAGGTTAAGAGACTGTGCAAAGGATAACTGGCCTTCTGGACAGGGCAGGTGAGTAATCTGAGCACAGCATCTCGATTAAGTAGTCAGACAAGGTCAAGTTTGAAGCTAGCTTAGATATGGCCAGTAGGAACAATTTTCTCACGTCTGCACCAATCCATATAGAACTATCCTTACAAACTTGTGGGAGAAAAGGAGCAGACTGAATTCATGCAGAATTTTCTGACAGATTCAGGGATATACAGGAAACTAGTAAAACAGGACGGAGAGCCTCTTCGGATCTTTTAATCCTCCAGCCGAGATGAAAAGCTCATTTTGGTAGTAAAGACACTACAGCAAAAATATTCTACACGCCAGTAATTGTGAAGAGTCAACAACTGCCACAAAAACAGCAAACTCCCAATTCAGTACAATTGTTTTAGTAGGGTCTCCTGTCAGCAATAAACTATTGTTCAGAAGAGACTACTTTTTATGAGAGGTTCAAAACTCATAATTTATCCAATGGAGATGAGGGTTAAACAGTTAACATTGTTTACAAACAATTTCTCTGTAGGGTCAAGCTAATATAGAATCACGGAATAGCTGGATTTGGAAGGGATCTCTAGAGATCATCTAGTCCAACTCCCCTGCTCAAGCAGGGTCACCTAGAACACGTTGCCCAGGACTATATTCAGTCATGTTTTGACTATCTCCAAGGATGTGGGCTTCAAAACCTCTCTGGGCAACCTCTTCCAGTGTCCAACCGCCCTCACAGGTTTAAAAAAAAAAAAAAAAAGTTTTTTCTCATGCTTAAATGGAATTTTAGGCGTTTAAACTTGTGCCCGTTGCCTCTCGTCCTGTCACTGGGGATCACGAAAACAAGTTTGGTTCTGTCTTCTCTATTCCCTCCCATCAGGTGTTTAAATACATTGATAAGATCTGCCCTGTACCTTTCCTTTAGCCTCTTTTCCAATACCTTAATCATCCTTGTGGCCCTTTGCTGGACTTGCTACAGTCTGTCCACGTCTCTCTTGTGCTGAGGATCCCAGCACTGGACACAGCACTCCAGATGGGTCTCACCGTAGCCTAGTAGAGGGGAAGGATCACCTCCTTCCACCTGCTGGCAACACTAACGCAGCCCAAGATGCTGTTGGCTTTCTTGGCCACAAAGGCACATTGCTGCCTCATGGTCACCTTGGTGTCCACCAGGACCCCCAACTCCTTCTCTACCAAGCCACTCTCCAGCAGATCAGCCCCCAGCCTGTTCTGCTACATGAGGTTACTCCTCCCCAGGTGCAGGGGTCTGCACTTCCCTGCACTTGCCTTTGTTGAACTTCAGGAGGTTCCTCTCTGCCCATTTCTCCAGCCTGCCGAGGTCCCTCTGAATGGCAGCACAGCCCTCTAGTGTATCAGCCACTCCTCCCAGCTTGGCATTGTCAGCAAACTTGCTGAGAACGCTCTCTCCCATCATGCTGGTCGTTATGGAAGATGTTAAACAGTACTCATCCCAAAATCGGCCCCTGGGGCTTGCCACTAGCGACTGGCCTCCAGCTGGACCTTGTGCCACTGATCACAATCCTCTGAGCCCAGCAGTTCAGCCAGTTTTCAGTTCACCTCACAGTCCAAAATTTAGCTGTCTTGGAAAACCATCAAGAAGCAGATCATATAAACAAGCTGTAGGATTTAGTTGTTAATCTTCCACCAGATCTACTCACTAAGGATATGAAGAGAAATTTTCCTGGTTATATATACATACAAACAAAGCCAGCTTGGCACTGAAACAGCCTAGCTTGTCTGTTTGTGTGGTTCTTTAGCCTCTGCCCAATACAACTTTCCCTCCTGCCCTCCTCCTCAAACGGAGGCGGTATTTGTGTCAGTTCTTGTCTCAGGACATCAGCCTGTGCTGCCTCGATTGCTGGAGGGCAGCAGATAAAACTATTTGCCCTTCCTCTTGTTAGAAGAGGTGGTTAAGTGATTCCTCAGGGAAACGGTTTCATCTCAGTTCCCCTCCACAGAAAAAGTCAAGTTATGCAGACAGAAAACAAAAGGAAACTCATAAAAGCAGCAAGGCAGAGAGAATACTTAAGAACCTTCAAAGCAGAGAAGGAAAGCGAAACACACCATGCTTTAATTTTAAGATCCTTTACTGTTAGTAGGTGATCCCAATCAAATGGTAGATTATAACCTTGTGAAATGCCACTTACTTTGACTTCCCCCTAGTCAAATATCAAAGGGTAATGAAAACATACAAAAAATACAAGATAAGCAAGCCCTCAGCTATCACCTCCCAGAACATAACTGTTAGGAGATGCAACACTTGAGGCATGAGCAAGGTGGTAGGGCTGGCAGGAGCACCCACACGTTAATAAACTGCCATAACTCTAGGACTTATCCAAAATACAGGACATTCGAGGCTTACCTGTTCAACTCTATGTCTTGTCTGAAGATAGGGGTCATATCTAGCCCGAATAGCCCTCATGGATGTTGGCTTAAAGACGGAGAAATTGATTTAGTTTTTTTTTTTTTTAATTAAACACAGTTAAAAAAAAAAAAACGCACACACACACAAGATAAAATTTTTTAGCACTGAAATGGCTGCTTCAGTTCTGCAAACACCCAAACCTGACAATTTCGAACTTACAATCAGAGACTCCATCCAACTGTAAAACTGAACACAGATCCTTGCATTTTTGAAAATTTTAACAAAATACATAATACATAACACCCTGATAGGGTAATGTAATGTAAAAAGAATGACACAATTTCAGATTTCTAGTGGATTATGACAGGATGGATAAATAAGTAACCTGTACAATAATTCACAAAAAATAATGCAGATCTCAAACACAAAATGGTTTTCAAAATACCAGTTGTTGTGTCCTGTTCATTTCAATTTCTCTTCACTTGCACAACAGTTATCCAAGGAATGTCCTCCAAAGCTCTATTTGAGCTTCAAATATTCCTTCAGCTAAACATACTCTTTTCATTGAAATCCCTAATAACTTATGCTGTACATTACTAACTGCTGTAAGCTTATTAATAATACTCTTAATAAGGTTTCTAACTATCGGTGTATGCTGGATGTTTGGTATTTCATATCTTTTATACTAAAATCTCTAAAGGAAGAAGACTCTTTTAATCATGTGCAACTCCCATACGGTGTTAAGACTAAATAAATTTATATTAAAGACACCTAAAACAATATGAATTATAAAGAAGGTGTATATATATATATACACAGAGGTTTTTCTTTGGACTAATGTTTAAGGGATAAGTTTCAAGTCACTAAATAATGTATAATATCAGACAAAAATCATACTAAGAGGAGGCTGCATCCCTATTTATCAAATTAATCTGGTTTGTAATCTACCTCTTTTACTACTTTATATCTGTACAATAGCTATCAGTTGCTTTGTAAAAACTAGTCAATAATTTAGCTGCAATAAGATCTCCTGCTATTAAACTTTCAGCTTGTTGCCTCTCATGCTTCCACTGGGCAACTCTGAGAAAGGCTCTGGCTGTCATCTCTATACCCTTCCGTTAAATCCATATTGAGCCATAAGCAAAAGTATGTGTTTCTACTGAGATGTTTAGTAAGGAAAATTTTGATGCAGAATGACAACTCCTATAGGGATCAGAGGTAGCATTTAAACAAAGCCACTTAAAACAGTAGGCCATAAAAACTTTATCCTTTGACTTTTGTCAAAGTTAAAAGTTGGCAGGAAGTAAAAGTTACCTTCTGGCCTTTCAAACTGAGGTGGCCAGCCTCTCTTGACTCCACAAACTACATAACAACACTTTCACATTGCCAGAGTCATCAGACATCTCCTACATACCCCAAGAAAGCAAGGAGAAAGAGTTGCTCCATAAACGGTTCACAAGTAGAAAGTTGCACTTTCCTGCTCTTCCTCTAGGAGATGCAGCAAGGCATGCAGCAGCATCCCACAGGAAACAGCAATATCACCTCCAGCTGCTCCTACTTAGTCACTACTTCCCACAGCTGGGGGATTCAGATGAGGAGCAGCTCCCACAGCAGGAAATCATGCAATGCAGCCGCAACACAGGAGCTGCATTTGCCCTGCTCAGAATCACAGGCTACTCACTCCTGCTCTAAAGCATTCTGCAAGCGGTATAAACAGTAGAAAGGTCAGGAGAAAGAAATAACTGCTATAAGAACTGAAAAGAATTCCCAGTCTTTTAGTTAAGCTGCTTTAGGTCTCAGTACGGAGTTTATGGAGTCTACTTTTGCTTATTCTTACAACAAGGATGAAATCGTAGAGACAAAGAGCAGTCTAATCAAAGTTTGTAGAGAATGTAGACAATGCATTATAGCAAACAGAAGTAATACCTCATATCCAGTGTAAGACTGTGTTGAATATTCAAAATCAGAATCAGGTCCACCTGGGCAGTATCTGCAAATATTACAAAATAGAAAACAGGCATCAGACAAACCAGCTAATTGCAATGACTCCCTTAGTCTGTCTGAGGTACAGGTACAAGAGGGTGCAGGCTGAGCAGACACTGCTCCATGCAGTCCATCTCTGATGAGAAATACAGGGAAACACAAGTTTGAGACAGTCTGTCCACAGTAACGAGGAATTGCCCTTCTGCCCCCCCTCCCCCTCCCCCCCCCCCCCCCAAAAAAAAGGAAGGCCTTGTTAGCTCAAGCACTATAGTATCTTAAAGCTGCAATATAGCTTCTGGACTAAAGTTGACTCACAACTGGTTAGCTCAGAACACAGGATGAATGAATTTGGGTGTTTCTGCATTACCCAGTGTAAGCATAGGCTGAGAAGCACATGCCCGAACACACATACTAGAGACAGTAGTTCTGCAGTATCTATTAACACTGAGAGCATTTTTAAATAGATACAGGCTCAGTTCCTAAGTACGGAGTAGTGCAAAAAGTCTTTTCACTTAATTTTAATGAGAGATGGGAGGTCAAAGAACAGTTCAGACCTGTTAAATGACTACATGCACATAAAAACAATTTGGTAAGACTTACTAGAAGCAAAAATGTACCATGAACATATCCCTGGAACTTGAAATTATTTCAGGAAGCTGCCCTACAAGTTTGGACTAATAACAGACCATGAGATTTTTTTAAAAGTAGTTTTACAAACACAAACAATTCTAAGTATTTTCCTCCACTCAATCAAAGAAAAAATGCCTCATTTGATACAAAGTAAAACTTTGGCTTTGCAAGGAAAGACAGAAAATGGAGACACCATCTAGGTAAAAAGTCTGCATTTCCTTTCCAAAAGGTAGGAGAATTTAAGAATGTTGATAATGTGAAAGCCCATTTACATTTGTTTTCTGAACTCAAGAACATGCTATTTAAAGAATACAGCACACTAAGATTACTTAAAAAGAGTAAGGCCCCACCTACTCTGGATAATTGCATGGCAGTTTAGTATTAAGTTATTATTGGTGAACCTAAAAGACTTGTTTGAAACTCCTCTTCTGTGACACAGCAAGACAGACTTGCAGCTATCACAGAACGACTGCTAGCCATGAGTAGAATGGTACATGGATTATTCTCCATAGCCAGTAATCAAAAGAAATATAAAGTATTCGGAAGGGACCTTAGTTTTCTTCTGAGGGCTATGGGACTAACGGTCAATCTACAGTCCTTCTGCATTCAGCGATCACCTGACACAAAAAGGTCGACAACACCTTCAACTTTAGTAATACCCACCTCCAATGGAAAAGGTAACAGAGCAGTCAGTTAACTGTTACTTACAGTGCAGATCTCAAACGCAGAGACAAAAAAATTCCATCTCTATCAAGTCAGACACATTCCATTCTCAGTAAAATTGATTAGTTTCCTCATTGCCCGCCCTGCAAACTCAGCCCAAGCCATCTGTCACCATTATAAAATTAATTACCAAATTACCATGGCCAAATTAATTTCCTGGTGAAAGTTATGCAATCTAATTCAAGACATTTCACATAAGTAATTAGCTTGAACATCTCAAACAAAATAGCTGTGATGCAAAAACAAGAATGGAACCAGCTCATTCTCTGTTAGCCAGCTCACAGTAAAATACACTGAAACTTTGGGAGTGACAACGTGGGAAGGAGAAGCAATGCTTTTTAGTAGATCGACTGATATGATTAGAAAAATAGATGAGATTTCAGGTGTACAGAATCTTAAGTCAAATAGAGGCAGCATACTTCAAGGTAAACCCCATTTTGGGTTTCTTCATTCAAAAAAACTTTAGAAGTTATTCCCTTAACACCACAAGCTCCTGGCAGCTCATTCCAGAGCCAGCCAAAGTCAGGTTGTCACACCAAGTTTTTATAGACAACACCTGAACCTTCTCAGTCAGCATTTTTCAAACTTTTTAGATTGGGCCCTGTTTCTTTTCCATAGTAGTCTTCTATCTGCTTTGCACCCAGACTATTCTCATGTGCAAAAATATTCAAAGATACACACATACTCCTTGCCGTATATTCTCTTCTCCTTTGGACTTCAAGATCCACTGTCATAGCTTACTAGGAGTCATTTGCCCCTGTTTGCTCAAAGGGACAGTCCACACAGGCATAGGATCTTTCGGTACATTTATAAATCTAACCTATCACAGTACTACAACTGGTATTTGGCCATTCATATGTTCTCCTGGTTACTATAGTCACTAAAGTGCATCTACTGATATAAGTAGGGTTTGGCCCATAAAAGAAAAAGGGTTTCTCCTTCAAGAAGAAGAAAACCTGAAAATCACAGAATCGTTTAGGTTGGAAGGGACCTCTGGAGATCATCTAGTCCAACCTCCCTGCTCAACCTGGGTCCTCTAGAGCATATTGCCCAGGATCACATCCAGATAGGTTTTGAATATCTGCAGCAGACTCCACTACCTCCCTGGGCAACCTGCTCCAGTGCTCTGTCACCCTCACAGTGAAGAAGTTTTTTCTCAGGTTCAGATGGAACTGCCTGTGGTTCAGTTTCTGCCCATTGCCTCTTGTCCTGTCGCTGGGCACCACGCAGAAGAGTCTGGCCTCATCCTCTTGACACTCCCCCTTCAGATACTTGTACACGTTGATGAGATCCCCTCTCAGTCTTCTCTTCTGCAGGCTAAACAGGCCCAGCTCTTGCAGCCTTTCTTCATAGGAAAGATGCTCCAGTCCCCTCATCCTCTTTGTAGCCTTCTGCTGCACTCTCTCCAGGAGTGCCATGTCTCCCTTGTACTGGGGAGCCCACAATTGGACACAGTACTCCAGGTGAGGCCTCACCAGGGCTGAGTAGATGGGCAGGATCACCTCCCTCGACCTGCTGGCAACACTCTGTCTAATGCACCCCAGAAACCATTAAATAAGTGGATTCTTTAGTGTAACGCGCAGGTATAGGCAATTTGCACTTTGGATCCAATTTCCTGCAACTTTTTACTTGCGCAGAAAGGAAGCCTGTGATAAATAATCTCCAACAGGATGCTACTGCAATACTAGATTCATACAGAAATACTGGAAAACAGCCTTCCCTTAGGTCATCCAAAGTGTCATACTTACACACATATGTTGCCCGTAAAGTTAATGTGTGGACACCTATGTGGTTTACACATCACGGCCACAACAGCAATCTGTAATAAGCAGAGTTACAGAGGAGAGAAATTTTAGTAATTGTATCAGAAGTTACAAAAACAGAGCGCGTCTTGGAAGGCTATATAAAGAAGTGAATTTGCAAGAGACTAAAGATATCTTCTGCTCAGTGTACCACCAAAATATTTATGCATTAACTCATGAAGAAAAGATTATAGCAAATATATCAAGAAATAGGAATCCCATTATTACATATTTTCATAAGTCAGAATAATCTGGGAGTATATTATAATATACTCCCATATGCTCTTTATAATATTATAAAGAATCAGGTGTCTTGTATCAGATCTGATATAACCACGCAGCACAAAAGATGCAGACTGACATTCAGATATTCACTGGGACCATTTAGGCTGCTTCTGAGACAGTGCAAGAGCGGAAGTGTGTCACAAAGCAAACTGAAAAACATCTGGAAGATGAAAATAGGGGAGATAAAGAAAAACAAAAAGACATAAAACAGAGAATAAAGAAGAAAACAGCTTCCCCCTGTCACCTTTTTTTCCAGTCCAGTCTCACATAGCTTTTCACACATTAAACGCAAGCACAACATAAGATGCTATCATCCCTTTTTACAAGGAACAGGGAGAAGAAGAGATAGAGGCACTGGAGATTTTCAAGCGTCCGCTAATTTTGAGCGCCCAACTTGGAATGCTTCATTTTTCAGAAACTGTTTGGAGTAAGAGTTTAGTGAAATAGTCCCTAGCCATAAACATTAAAAAAAAATAACTATTAAGAACTGATCACTTCCAGAGATTTTGGTTTCTGATTTTTTTTTTTAAACTCTGCCTTTAGGCATGCTATATATACAATACGGAAGCTTAAGAGCACACAGTTCAACATTAGCTGTACCTGTATTACTGTTTTCAAACTGAACTCTTATTCAAAGAAACTGGTTAAATACTAACATCTTTGAATATTCATTGAGAGGGCCTACAGATTAAGCTGCACTGTTTCTAGAGCAACTAAAAAAGCAAGACAGGCTAACTTGCTAGATGAAATGAAGTCTCCACGCCCTATCTTTCTCTTCTCCCAAATGCTTTAAATGCAATGACTGAGTGCTTTGAAAGTAGGAGCCTTGTGAGCACGGCATCACAGAAAAGATAACCTGGAAGCTGGCAATGTCGCCAGCGCATCTTCATTAAAGCTTCTGGATATTCAATATCCTCGTCTTTGAAAGCGATTACATCCAGTATAATTTATCTACGCGGGGATAGATGCAAAGAACAATATATGTGCTTACCCCACTAGCAGTTCTGATAGGCTTGGCTTTCAGCTTTGGTACCAGCACCTTGCGGTACTGTGGTGGAACAGCAGCAATAATGTCAACTAAACGAGGTTGTGCTGAAAGTCCATACTTTGCTGACGTCTTGGTTTTCAGCCTAAAAGGCAGAAGGACCTCAAATCAATGATTACAGTCAGACTTGCCCGGCCATCTTCCACCGCAGTGCTATCATGTTACTGTTCTATTAGAGGGAGACCTGGGTAGGTTCTTCCAATTTGCCTTCCAGGCAACTTACTTAAAAAGCAAACAGCATTTCCGTGCAACCACAGCAGCAGCGCTGGGCATTAAAATACAGAAAATAAACTCCAAAAGAAATTCACACGCAACATTTGCCAATGTTTTGAGTTTCTATACCTTTCACTTCTAAATATGGTTTTACCCCAAACATTGTGACAGCTGCCCCAGAGACTCCAGCTTACCCATTTTCAGCGAATTATTCTTTTCATAAGACTTCCATCCAACTGATCTCCCACAAACTCAGGCTCTAGCTGAGTTAATTTCCAAGATAGTTCTGTTATTTGTTTCCAGCATCCACAAGAAGTTTGCAATTATATCATGAAAATAAAATAAAATAGGGACATTGGGCCAAATTCAATTGTCATTACTCTACATATGTAAAGAGGGAAGAAGTTTCTGTAAAAAAACAGCTTCAGTTGTAATACACTGCTAAGAAAATTTGCTTTAATCTATGCTACCCATAAATTATTCTCTCCTTCTCATGATGGAATTGACTTTGGGACTAGCAGATGGAGACACAAAAAGGCAGTCGCAAGTTTCTTTGGGCTTTTTCACCAACACAACCCATTTTGTGCTCTGAGCACTGCCAATAAAGTAGCAAGGCATGATTTCCTATCAGCACAAAATTTACAAATCTTCATATCTGAAATAATTACAATACACTTCATTGTCAGGTAATAGTAAGAGAAATTACAGTAGGCTATGGAAGTGAAACATTGTTTTAAAATAAAGCTTGAACATAACAGACTGCACAGGACACATTCCACACTGGTGAACCAACTGTTTAGTTTCATCCTGGAATGACTGACTTGTTCAGATTCACATCTTTCCCCAGCTCATGAGCCTCGATTAATTGTTTTATGATGTCAGCTATCGTCATCATCATCAGCTCTGCATGGCTGAGATCTCCTGAAATGAGAACAAAACAACAAACCACATGTATATCAGGACTTGCTAACTGCTCGTGACAATCAAGTTGCGTCTGCCTTGTAATTCATTTTTAAGATTTCCTACAACTTCAAGGCACTGCTGCCTAGAGAGGAAATTTTGCCCCTGCACCTCATTCTTGATTTGCAGAAGACAGCCAATGCCTTGTATCACTGTTTTTTTTCTTTTACTTCTAGGACAAACTCCACCTTCTCAGCATGGAGAACGTGCATGACAGCTAGAACTAAAAAGTCACTGGAAGTTAAAGACAATTAATAGTGTGGAACAAGACACATGAAGAAGCCAGCTCCAGAAACTCTCCTCCGTCAGAGACCCCGAATGGGTACGCTGCATCAAGCTTCCTCAAGGCTTCCCCCCAACCATTAAGCCACCCTGCAGGGACTGTCTGTGCTCTACGTACTGCATACGTTCCTCCATATCAGCTTTGACAGAAAAGGCGCTTTGCTACTAGCAGAGCCAGGCTTCCTAACATATATTTATTTCACATTATGCAGCTCTGTCTGCATTAGCAAGAGCTGGGACGGTAAGTTATATACACGCAGAACTGTTATCAGAAAACCTGTTAGGACGGACATAACTAGGTACACAACCACACTAACAACTTTGTTAGTGTGAGCCGTGCCAAAATTTGGCAGTGCTTACATCCACCCCAGAGAAGCACCACAGCACTGCTGTCATCTGGTCACTCTCTGCAGGCACAGTTTTGGACAGACCAGGCCTCTGCTAACCCCTCAATACCCTGCATCATCTTTGCGGCCCCATATCTCCTCCGCAGCTGGTTTCCCTCAGACATGAAGGCAAAACCCGGTAACACTGGGAACTCCCCTGCCCCTGGCATCCCAACCTGCGTGTCTGACAGCCTGCTGGGGCACAGGTCAGGAGCAAGGCAAACCCCCGAGCACCTGGGTGCAAAGGTCTCTACTCCCTGTTCAAAGAGTGACTCACCAAGGGGTGCCAAGTCCCCCTAGTCTTCAAGCAAGGTTACGGGTAGCCCTTCACTCAGGGCCAGGGCAGGGGGCAAAGCCCTGGCACACTGCCCACACACCCCCAACACACACACAGGGCCAGGGGAGGGGGACAAAGCCCTGACACACTGCCCCCACCCCTCACACACACACAGGGCCAGGGGAGGGGGACAAAGCCCTGACACACTGCCACCTCCCCCCCAACACACACAGGGCCAGGGTGGGGGGACAAAGCCCTGACACACTGCCACCTCCCCACACACACAGGGCCAAGGCAGGGGGACAAAGCCCTGACACACTGCCACCTCCCCACACATACAGGGCCAAGGCAGGGGGACAAAGCCCTGACACACTGCCACCTCCCCACACACACAGGGCCAAGGCAGGGGGACAAAGCCCTGACACACTGCCACCTCCCCACACACACAGGGCCAAGGCAGGGGGACAAAGCCCTGACACACTGCCACCTCCCCACACACACAGGGCCAAGGCAGGGGGACAAAGCCCTGACACACTGCCACCTCCCCACACACACAGGGCCAAGGCAGGGGGACAAAGCCCTGACACACTGCCACCTCCCCACACACACAGGGCCAAGGCAGGGGGACAAAGCCCTGACACACTGCCACCTCCCCACACACACAGGGCCAAGGCAGGGGGACAAAGCCCTGACACACTGCCACCTCCCCACACACACAGGGCCAAGGCAGGGGGACAAAGCCCTGACACACTGCCACCTCCCCACACACACAGGGCCAAGGCAGGGGGACAAAGCCCTGACACACTGCCACCTCCCCACACACACAGGGCCAAGGCAGGGGGACAAAGCCCTGACACACTGCCACCTCCCCACACACACAGGGCCAAGGCAGGGGGACAAAGCCCTGACACACTGCCACCTCCCCACACACACAGGGCCAAGGCAGGGGGACAAAGCCCTGACACACTGCCACCTCCCCACACACACAGGGCCAAGGCAGGGGGACAAAGCCCTGACACACTGCCACCTCCCCACACACACAGGGCCAAGGCAGGGGGACAAAGCCCTGACACACTGCCACCTCCCCACACACACAGGGCCAAGGCAGGGGGACAAAGCCCTGACACACTGCCACCTCCCCACACACACAGGGCCAAGGCAGGGGGACAAAGCCCTGACACACTGCCACCTCCCCACACACACAGGGCCAAGGCAGGGGGACAAAGCCCTGACACACTGCCACCTCCCCACACACACAGGGCCAAGGCAGGGGGACAAAGCCCTGACACACTGCCACCTCCCCACACACACAGGGCCAAGGCAGGGGGACAAAGCCCTGACACACTGCCACCTCCCCACACACACAGGGCCAAGGCAGGGGGACAAAGCCCTGACACACTGCCACCTCCCCACACACACAGGGCCAAGGCAGGGGGACAAAGCCCTGACACACTGCCACCTCCCCACACACACAGGGCCAAGGCAGGGGGACAAAGCCCTGACACACTGCCACCTCCCCACACACACAGGGCCAAGGCAGGGGGACAAAGCCCTGACACACTGCCACCTCCCCACACACACAGGGCCAAGGCAGGGGGACAAAGCCCTGACACACTGCCACCTCCCCACACACACAGGGCCAAGGCAGGGGGACAAAGCCCTGACACACTGCCACCTCCCCACACACACAGGGCCAAGGCAGGGGGACAAAGCCCTGACACACTGCCACCTCCCCACACACACAGGGCCAAGGCAGGGGGACAAAGCCCTGACACACTGCCACCTCCCCACACACACAGGGCCAAGGCAGGGGGACAAAGCCCTGACACACTGCCACCTCCCCACACACACAGGGCCAAGGCAGGGGGACAAAGCCCTGACACACTGCCACCTCCCCACACACACAGGGCCAAGGCAGGGGGACAAAGCCCTGACACACTGCCACCTCCCCACACACACAGGGCCAAGGCAGGGGGACAAAGCCCTGACACACTGCCACCTCCCCACACACACAGGGCCAAGGCAGGGGGACAAAGCCCTGACACACTGCCACCTCCCCACACACACAGGGCCAAGGCAGGGGGACAAAGCCCTGACACACTGCCACCTCCCCACACACACAGGGCCAAGGCAGGGGGACAAAGCCCTGACACACTGCCACCTCCCCACACACACAGGGCCAAGGCAGGGGGACAAAGCCCTGACACACTGCCACCTCCCCACACACACAGGGCCAAGGCAGGGGGACAAAGCCCTGACACACTGCCACCTCCCCACACACACAGGGCCAAGGCAGGGGGACAAAGCCCTGACACACTGCCACCTCCCCACACACACAGGGCCAAGGCAGGGGGACAAAGCCCTGACACACTGCCACCTCCCCACACACACAGGGCCAAGGCAGGGGGACAAAGCCCTGACACACTGCCACCTCCCCACACACACAGGGCCAAGGCAGGGGGACAAAGCCCTGACACACTGCCACCTCCCCACACACACAGGGCCAAGGCAGGGGGACAAAGCCCTGACACACTGCCACCTCCCCACACACACAGGGCCAAGGCAGGGGGACAAAGCCCTGACACACTGCCACCTCCCCACACACACAGGGCCAAGGCAGGGGGACAAAGCCCTGACACACTGCCACCTCCCCACACACACAGGGCCAAGGCAGGGGGACAAAGCCCTGACACACTGCCACCTCCCCACACACACAGGGCCAAGGCAGGGGGACAAAGCCCTGACACACTGCCACCTCCCCACACACACAGGGCCAAGGCAGGGGGACAAAGCCCTGACACACTGCCACCTCCCCACACACACAGGGCCAAGGCAGGGGGACAAAGCCCTGACACACTGCCACCTCCCCACACACACAGGGCCAAGGCAGGGGGACAAAGCCCTGACACACTGCCACCTCCCCACACACACAGGGCCAAGGCAGGGGGACAAAGCCCTGACACACTGCCACCTCCCCACACACACAGGGCCAAGGCAGGGGGACAAAGCCCTGACACACTGCCACCTCCCCACACACACAGGGCCAAGGCAGGGGGACAAAGCCCTGACACACTGCCACCTCCCCACACACACAGGGCCAAGGCAGGGGGACAAAGCCCTGACACACTGCCACCTCCCCACACACACAGGGCCAAGGCAGGGGGACAAAGCCCTGACACACTGCCACCTCCCCACACACACAGGGCCAAGGCAGGGGGACAAAGCCCTGACACACTGCCACCTCCCCACACACACAGGGCCAAGGCAGGGGGACAAAGCCCTGACACACTGCCACCTCCCCACACACACAGGGCCAAGGCAGGGGGACAAAGCCCTGACACACTGCCACCTCCCCACACACACAGGGCCAAGGCAGGGGGACAAAGCCCTGACACACTGCCACCTCCCCACACACACAGGGCCAAGGCAGGGGGACAAAGCCCTGACACACTGCCACCTCCCCACACACACAGGGCCAAGGCAGGGGGACAAAGCCCTGACACACTGCCACCTCCCCACACACACAGGGCCAAGGCAGGGGGACAAAGCCCTGACACACTGCCACCTCCCCACACACACAGGGCCAAGGCAGGGGGACAAAGCCCTGACACACTGCCACCTCCCCACACACACAGGGCCAAGGCAGGGGGACAAAGCCCTGACACACTGCCACCTCCCCACACACACAGGGCCAAGGCAGGGGGACAAAGCCCTGACACACTGCCACCTCCCCACACACACAGGGCCAAGGCAGGGGGACAAAGCCCTGACACACTGCCACCTCCCCACACACACAGGGCCAAGGCAGGGGGACAAAGCCCTGACACACTGCCACCTCCCCACACACACAGGGCCAAGGCAGGGGGACAAAGCCCTGACACACTGCCACCTCCCCACACACACAGGGCCAAGGCAGGGGGACAAAGCCCTGACACACTGCCACCTCCCCACACACACAGGGCCAAGGCAGGGGGACAAAGCCCTGACACACTGCCACCTCCCCACACACACAGGGCCAAGGCAGGGGGACAAAGCCCTGACACACTGCCACCTCCCCACACACACAGGGCCAAGGCAGGGGGACAAAGCCCTGACACACTGCCACCTCCCCACACACACAGGGCCAAGGCAGGGGGACAAAGCCCTGACACACTGCCACCTCCCCACACACACAGGGCCAAGGCAGGGGGACAAAGCCCTGACACACTGCCACCTCCCCACACACACAGGGCCAAGGCAGGGGGACAAAGCCCTGACACACTGCCACCTCCCCACACACACAGGGCCAAGGCAGGGGGACAAAGCCCTGACACACTGCCACCTCCCCACACACACAGGGCCAAGGCAGGGGGACAAAGCCCTGACACACTGCCACCTCCCCACACACACAGGGCCAAGGCAGGGGGACAAAGCCCTGACACACTGCCACCTCCCCACACACACAGGGCCAAGGCAGGGGGACAAAGCCCTGACACACTGCCACCTCCCCACACACACAGGGCCAAGGCAGGGGGACAAAGCCCTGACACACTGCCACCTCTTCAGGTTGTGCCCGTTGCTTCTTGTCCTATCGCTGGGCACCACGGAGAAGAGTTTGGCCCCATCCTCTTGACACCCTCCCTTCAGATATCAATACACATTGATGACAACCCCCCTCAGTCTTCTCTGCTCCAGGCTGAACAGGCCCAGCTCCCTCAGCCTTTCCTCCAAGGAGAGATGCTCCAGGCCCTCTAGGGCTCCTTAGTAGCCCTTTGCTGGACTCGCTCCAGGAGCTCTCTTGGAACTGGACACACGAGTCTGGGTGTGGCCTCACTAGGGCTAAGTGGAGGGGAAGGATCACCTCCCTCCACCTGCTGGCAACGCTATGCCTAATGCACCCCAGGATCCCATTGGCTTTCTTGGCCACAAGGGCACATTGCTGGCTCATGCTTAACTCATGCTGCCTCATAGTCACCTTGGTGTCCACCAGCACTCCCAGGTCTTTCTCTGCAGAGCTACTTTCCAGCAGGTCATCCCCCAGCCTGTATTGGTGCCTGGGGTTATTCCTCCCTAGATGCAGGGCCCTGCACTTGCCTTTGTGGAACTTCAGGAGGTTCCTCTCCGCCCATCTCTCCAGCCTGTCCAGGTCCCTCTGAATGGCAGCACAGCCTTCTGGTGTGCCAGCCCCTCCTCCCAGCTTGGGATCATCAGCAAACTTGCTGAGGGTGCACTCTGTGCCTTCCTCCAGGTCACTGATGTATTCCTTGAACAAGACTGGACCCAGTATTGACCCCTGGGGGACACCACTAGCTGCAGGCCTCCAAGTAGACTTTGCGCCACTGACCGCAACCCTCTGAGCTCTGCCACCTAGCCAATTCTCAGTCCACCTCACTGTCCACTGAATCCATTCCATTCTTCATTTTCTTTTATATAGTACTGGGACAATAGCCGCTGAAGGCAAGGTAAGCATCAAGGTGGCATAGGACAACCCATAAAGCCCTGATCCAACAAAGTGCTTAAAGAGATGGTTAACACTGAAACTAGTCATATCCTTAAGGTTAGACATTCTCCTCGATACAGAGCAAGGCGATGGCACCTTTCTCCAGAAAAAAAGCCTGATTCGCTGCTGAGCTATATTTACTACATAAACTTCACTGAGTTCAGTGGCAATACACAGGAGTAACAAACTGGTTAATCAGTTTTGAAGACCTGGTAGACAAAAAAACTAAATAAAGTAGGTATTCCCACTCCACTGTGGAAACATGAGGGTTGCATGTGCATTGGAAAAGCAGGAATTTTCCTTCCTTCAGAAAGCTAATTTACTTTAATTTAATTTATTGTAAATTAAACATGAGTCTTGTCATATTTTCTGCCACTGTTTGCATGATTACTAATAAACTCCAAAACCCCACAAGTTTACTAGGAGGAAAATTGATTCACTATATGCCAACCTGGAGCCAGTGGATATAATTCCAGGAGTTAGGTCATGACCTTAATTACTTTTTTCTTCCATGTTGGTGTTCAGCGTGTGTTGTTTAGTCTTCTGCTCTTGGAACTCTGCATAATAGACCTTTACACATCTTCATTATTAGCTGTAATATACTTTATTCTCATCTGCTTGGATCATTGATCTGTTCCTTTGGCAGCCTCATTTTAATTTGACTTGATGTTTGCTTGCTCGAGGCACTTATTCTTTCAACATATTTCATTCTTCTTCCAAGAATTTACTAAAAGACTTGAGCATTAAGCCTCTTTATTTAGACTGGATTAAATATGAGTTTTTAACAGATCTTCATTTCAACAAGATTCCCCAGCACTACCTTTATAATAATAATAATAAATGGAGAATAACTTGGAATAATTCCTAGTTAGTTATGTATATTCTTTTTCTGTGCATCATCCTATATATACCTTTGTTGTCATGTAGTGTTGTAATCAGTAATGGCCAGCATAACAGCAGGGTTATAACTTGGGATTATATGCAGAATAAGGCAGACCTCTCTGTTACTGAAACTGGGACAACTCTGA